ATGGATCTATGCAATGAGAATCGGATCATGATGAGATCACGATAATGAGACCGATTCGCCTTTAAACCCGGATCTTAAATAATCTTGGTCATAGGTTACCCGAGAGGGACATCGAGATAACTAGACAAACTGGTGTACTATATACCCGTACATATGATAAATGTAGCTAGTCTTATAGCTGCTTGTGTAGAGACACTAGGGATTAGTGTAGATGCTCATTGGAGAATAAGTTCACTAATTGATTCGCTCACGGAATGCTGGATGGTTAATGATACCTCATTGTTAGTTAGAAATTCCGTTATCCCAATGGTGTACATCTTCCTTAAACTTGAAACACCAATGATATCTTGTATGAATACTTCATTCTTTGATACTGGACTTATAGTTCTGGAAGTTTCATATCTATCATAACTGGTCATCGGGAGTAGTAATCAACCTTATGAGGACTATTGAGTGTTGATATAGATTATCTACTCTCGATGTCATGAGAGGAATATCTCATGTGTTCCTGCTTAGACAAATCCTTGACCAGGGTCATTCGGATTGAGAGAAAAAGAGTTATTCGGAAGAATCCGATTAGAGCGAAACTCGAGTATAAACTATTTGGACCTGGTAGTACCATATCCAGTATACGATCTCTGAGATATTAGATGGATGAGAAACTATAGATACACGGTAATTGAGGATAAACAGGTCCAATAGATTAGATTCCCCTGTATCGTCTGGGGACTATAGCGTAGTAGCCTAGCACGTTCGCAATCGATGAATCGAGTGAATTATTATGGAGATAATAATTCACTGAGCTAAAATGAGTTCTGATGGGTATGACTCACGACCAGCTCGATATTGGGCCTAGAGAGTCACACACATATGGTAGGCGTTACGACGAGTAGAGGTTCGAATATGAGATATCCACCGGAGCCTCTATCTTATTAGATATCTAATAAGCTCATAAATTATTAGATCCTATGGATGAGATCCAATAAGAGTTAATGATAGATTATTGGATAGAGATCCACTAATCTAAGAGGCTTGGGTAGTTGGATAGAGATCTAGTACCAAATAGGGCAAGATTCATTAGGGTTAAATTAACATGGGACTTTTATAAATAAAAGGGAACCTAAGGCTCATAGGCTAGAGGTCTCTTGGTTGCCACCTCCTATTCTCCTCTCCCCTTCTCCTCTTCAGATAGTAGACTTAGAGATTTGAAGAGTATCATCGCAACCCTATTGTATAGATTTGCAAGGATTTAGGAAAACATAATCTTTCATATACGTAGTTTTTGATTTTGTGGATTTTACATATCAATCTTCGCACGACGATGAACACAATTAATGCGAAATTTAGAGATTTTTGTTTTCTGTTCTTCTGTTGCATCTGTGACATTGTCTCTAGATTTCCCTACAAATTAACCCTATTTAATTAGGTAAATCTAGAATTGGACTACCCAAATTAAGTTTATAGATTTAAAATAAGCATCAACATAATTAGACCAGTCAAAATTAGTGATGACTAAAGTGAAAATTGATCAAAATTATGGTTCGATAAAAAATAAAAAATGACCGAGGTCAAAATAAATCAAAAACTTGAATTCTAATTTGATTAGGTCTAAATTAGGCAATAACAGTAAAAATCTAGTGAAGGTATAGTTAAAATTTAGGTCCGATCAAAATTTATGATTGACTAAGGCCAAAATTGGTCAAACTTGAATTTCGACTATGTTATAATTAGGGCTCGGTTAAAATAGGGTTAAAATCAGAAATGAGAACATCAAAGTAGCACTTTGACTAATTAGGTCTTATTAATAGAGTCAAAATTATATTTTGATCGATTAGGTCAAAATTACAAGAACACGATGCTCGTCCCTTCATCTCTTCGAACCCATCCTCCTCGCGACCTAGTCTTATTATCACACCATCGATCATGACCCAAAGGTCATTGGTGCCTAATTCGATGATGTCGATGAGGCTGAGCATCTCAATCTATTGTCTTTATTATACAAATAAAGTTTAATATTAAACTTAAAATTAAATTATAATAGATAAAATTTATGATGTAAACCCTTCGATTATTCAAAATATCTTTCTTTGGATCTATAAATGTGTTGTCTTATATAGAATAACTATAAACGATAGAATAAAAACTAATAAGAGATAAAAGTAGATAAGTATATAATTTTATAATATATCTTATCTAATTAAATAAGATAACATGAAACATCAGCACTTACCAATAAGGGTTGGCGTCGACAGTGGCGACAAACTTCCAGCACTCCATTCTGTGATCCACGACCGCGAAGTCAACGTTCCTGAGTTGCTCCACCACATGCAATGATCTCCCCAGTCTCGACTCGACGACGCCGGTGAGGTTGAGCGTCTCAATCTGTCGTCTCGCTACCTCGACGTCTGCCTGCTCGTGGCGCACGCAGATGACCTTGCCGCAGGTCTGCTGGGCAGCCGCCGCCAGTGAGAGAGTGGATGGAGATATGCCACCGGATGGTCCAGCGTCCACCATCAGCTGGGTTCGCTTGCCTGCAGGCAGCGCCGATATGTACTCTGTGTAGTCGGGTTCGATGAGCTTTGAGGCTCTCTCCTTTCTCATCGTAGAAATACTTGCACTGCATGAAATGTTAGCAAGTCTCAGCATTGGCTGTGTGAGATAGAGATAGAGATAGAGAGAGGGAGAGAAAGGGTGTTTACTAGGTGAAGAGTGTGGGTGTAAGCGTTCATGGCGTCCGACGGTGACGAACTAGCCATGGAGAGTGAAGCAGATGAAGTTTGCCGTTGCATAGTTTGAAGGAGAAAGAAGCCATATTTATAGCCATGGAAGAGAGACTGCACTCGCATGCATGCATGGAGTTATTTAAGGGTGGAGAAGACATCTTCTTCTCTTCCTATGTGGCATCCATGCCATGGACACCGTGGGATGTGAATCCGGCAAAGGCCGCTGGTTTCCACGAAGGTGGAAGGAAGAGTTTAGTTTCCTGGGAGGAGTCCAATAACCCGAAACCCCAACCCCGGGTGTGAAGTATGAATCTAAGCTTTTACATGTATCCATGAACTTATCGGATTCATGTCCGACATGGCAGGCCTCAGTTGCTGCTCTGAGAATACAGGAGTTGGGGAACCTAAATGGTGGGATTGTTTAAAATTAAGGACGAAATGGAATGATTCCGGCGGCCTAACATGGGAGGCTGTTATATTAAACGAGAGAGAGAGAGAGGGAGAGAGAGAGAGAGAGAGAGTCCAATAAGATGAGTTTTGCAACGTCGATCCTGAGTTCATCTCTAGTTCTCCTAAAGACATGCCTATAATAGTATCCACGGCATGTATGCGATTCCCAAGGCAACATATCTACCTTCCAGGGAAATGGAAGCTTGTGGCTGTTTTTGTGGCTATTTCTTTTCCTGTGTACGGGCTGAGGTTTCTAGTCTCTTTGGGTGTCAAAGAAAGTGATTGTATTGTTATCTTTGCGTGTGAAACAAAATGCTATTCGATTATGTGCATCTCTGGTCTGACTCCTGAGGCTAGAATTTGATGAGCTTTAAGCTTGAGATAAAAGTATTTGTCCTTATCCAAGGTTAGATTTGATAGGGACAAATACTTTTTTTTTACAAAGTTAAATTGCAGAAATAAGATTTGATACTTATACCTTATCAAAGGTTAATAATTTTACTAGTTAGACTAACTGATATCTTCAAAAAATTAATTAGTGGGTAGATCTGATACAACACCATCATATCAATGCTTAATTCATAAATTTTTTAGATGATATTTTAAATCATCAGTCTTTAATAAACTACTAGATAAATGTCCTAAATTATGAGATAATATTTTGGTCCCTCAACCTTTAACAAATGGTTCTAACAAATCACCACCAAACTGATACTTTTACATACATTACAAGCACTAAATCTTTCTAAAGCATTCGACACAACATGGAGGAAGGAACACAATTGACAAGAGAATAACATTGCATGCACTACACATTTCTAAACGAGACATTAGATAATAAAGTCTGATGCTGTATCCACTTGTAGATCAAAATTAGCATTACATATGTACAATATCGTATGAAGAACGGTAGGTTGGTACCCCTGCTTCAGCAGGCTACCTTTTGAATTTTACACACTGATGAAATCTAGAGAGATTGGTCCCTACCTTTTGAATTTTATAAGCATGATGAAATCTAGAGATAGATTGGAAGAGTTCAGCTTCTTTCTAAGTCATATGATTCCTGCAGTGTAAAAAGCAAATGACAGTCATAAACCTTGGATTTCAGACCAATACAGGAGAGAACTAAAAGCCTTCCTATTTGGTACTTGTCCCAAAGATTTATAACAGCAAACTAATAGGGTTGTCTGGCAAATAAAAACAGTAAATACAGTTTGATATTCTCAACAAAACCAACCGATGTACCAATGTATTATACAACAAACCAGAACAAAACATAGCTTGCTTTCTAGTTAAGTTTATACTCTCTAGTAATATCATTAAATTCCTAAAGTATTATAACTTAAATTGGAGTTTCTTGTAAATTTCTAATTTGTTCCTGAGGAGTTGCAGAAAGATAGTAGCACAGTCAATCATCAACAAGGGTGGATGGCATATGACTCTCAGAAGAGGTTTTCAGGTGTAGATCAAAAAGGAAAATGAGTGATAGATAACTAACCTGTTTTTCCTAGGATTCAAAACAAACCAAACCACTTATTTTGATTTCATTTCGTATGCTTTGACAGTTTAAGAGCCTACATACAGCTGTGAATTAGGTACTCCAACTCAATAAATCATCTTCTTAAGTTTCTTCATTTAATATCACCTTCCATATTCATACTACTAACTCTAGATCAGAAAAACTTCTTCCTCAAGTTCTTTTAATCAAGACTAACTTCCACCTCCATGTTCAGAACTTTTATAATAACTGAATTAATGAAATTCACACACATAGAAAACTGGTCTAGTGAAATTCAAGTTCATTTCATAATTGAGATAAATAGGATATAAAAAATACAAAACTAACCTTTCATCACTTGTTGTGTCAATGGCTAAAAGGCAAAGCATTAACTTGCATTTATAACCTTCTTTGCTTTCCTCGAGAATTCCCTAATAGAATAACTGTCAGAGAATGTCAATGGGGTGTCTTCATCCATAATATCCTTCTCATAGAAAAGTCTTGTAGGTCTTTGGCTTTCTGGACCATGTCTAGTATTTGTCTGTTCAGTTGTTGGTGCCTCTTCAGGTATATCCCGATACAAATGGTTCAAAATGAAAAGTGCAGTATCCTTATCACGCCAATAATTACTGCAATAAGCAGACCAAATCAGTCCATTGAACACAGGAAAATCTCCAGTCTTCTTTTATTGACAGGTATGAAAGACAACAGTGGGTCATTTGATTGGTTCTTACGTGTGTGACTTTATAGCTGATATGTATGCATGCCGAAATGTTTTATCCTGTAAAATAAAAAACATGTTATTGTCAATCATTGAAGCCTCTACCTGTTCATATTGGTTGATTTATCAATGATCAGTCAGTTAAAAACGACCCTATAGGAGATAGAAGCATAACTAGTAGAAAAATTTGCAAACCAGCAAAACAAATTTCTGAATAACCCATGACACAAATATAGGGAAGTGAAAATTTTCTTTGCAAACTGCAGTATAAATCACCACATAGTAGCATGAAGTCAAGAAACAACCAAAATACTACTGGAGATCCAAACTTTAAGTTCATTTTGATTTTCACTCCAATTAAATTCAAGATGCAATTATCTGATTAGCAAGTGAAAACATAAAAAGCAACCAATAATTGCAACACCAAAGAACACACACATGTGAATAAACAGACAAAAAAACTATTAAGGACATCGAAAGCATTAAAACTAGGGACCATAACACTTTCCCATTTTTATTTTTGTTGGCTGCTTTGAGCAACTCCTATCGTCCTAGAACATAAGTAAAATGGCAATAAGCCCATGTCATCCTGCATTGAATGTATATTACACTATTTATTTAAACTTAATTAAGAATTCTCAAAGGGAAAGATATCACCAAACTTGAAAACTTGCCCTTTCTAGTTTTTAATGTATATATTGATCTTAAAGTATATTCCTTAGGATTCTTCACGCAATTATGAACTGCTTAGGATCCTTTAGGTCATGACTTGCACACTTGACAAATGAAGGAAGTCAAAATTAAAATTAAAAAAAAACTGCCAACCAGATTTGAAGTTCAACCATCCCCTGGTTCTGTGGATGAGGCCATGACAACCATTGTTTTATGCAAAAGATGATCAAGCATCTCAGGTCAAAATATCATTCAAAACCTCACATTTTCAGTAAAATAGAATTGATGAGGATGGCAAGATGCAGGCTGATATGAATCAAGAATCTATATTTTGCAGACAGGGACAGATCCAGCATATTTTCTTCCTTGGAAGCAAACATTATGTACAGGGCATTAGCTCCAAAACATGTCATCAGAGAATCCATGCCTTTATTGTTTGAAAATACATATATTTAAGGATTAGAGAAGTAACTAGAAGAACTTCTGAACTATTTTATGCCCTTGATGCCTCAGTTAATTCTATATTTAAATTTATAAATCCAGAATTTGCCTACAAAACACATATGCAGAAAGTTAAAAGAGGCATTGTAACGGATTATATTTGAAGGAGCCCTTATCCCTAAGCGCTGAGCATTATGATTATATTAATTACATCATATATCCGTCTGATCATGGATTAACAAGCAATCAACACCACAATTTACCAATCTTTTGTGTGAATTAAGAAACTAGCAGATTCAAACTAATACATAAAGCACATTATCATAAGGTGCATAAATTTCGTTCTAGAATGATCCAAAGTTTCACCTGACCAAGTAATGGCCTCAAAATCTACTTAGATTAGATTAGAGATCCTAATATCACAATAAAAGTCAATGCTACCAGGACAATGGCATAGGACATCAGTGCAACAATTCTGATGCCATATGATGTATTGATTGGCGAAGTATCATGCAATGCTTAAAAGCAGATATCCTCATGCCAATTCACATACCACATATGTCTGCCTGAGTCTAAAAGATACACAATGCATGACATTAAAACTAATTTAGCGAATATTACTTGTATCCTTAGAACCAAAATCTCAACCTAGTAAAGGTTATTTGAACAATTATTGATAGTGTCGTTTAACATAATTCTTTTGCTTAAGGTTGTGCACTATGTTATAAAGACATATAATCATTTCTCCACCACCAAGAAACTATGATAAAGGACAATTACTGGATTCAATTACATGTACAGTGGTTGTAAATTCAGGGACCTACCAGAATATATATAAAAAACCAAAAGATTGATAGACTAAATAAAGTAATCAATATAGGAAAAGTATTCATGAACCAATTACTTCTATAGTGAATGTACAAGAGCTTAGCATATTGGACAGTTAAGCATAACGTATTAGAACTGCATGCAAAAGGAAAAGCATGGATGACTAAGATTTGTCGATACTTACTTGGAGAACATAATCAACACGACCATCTTTGTCACCAGTCAACCTTTCCATCATGATGGAACCATATGATCTTTCTTTTTCTCGAGTTCCATGTGCAGTATCTGCAATGCAAGTTACTGATTCAGACCTTTTTTCCTCTCATTCACGACATGTTAAAACTACCTTAAATATTTTTTAAAAAAGGCATGTCAGCCCTTACCTCCATTCTCATCCTTGTTCTGTAATTGAAACACACTGATGACTTTAACCTATTGAAAAATCAATATAATCTCACATAAGACTTAGCATAGAATATCAAGAACTGAAATGCATTTCCTGGTGCAGCATATTTTGAGTAATCTGATACAATAAGATGATACACCAAAGCCCTTTTTAAAAATGTTGTGTAAATTTTTGATACAGACTCAACCCAGTGAAATCGGAAACAGCAGAAAATCTAATGAGCATTCTTCATAATTGGTGCAGTTCTGTATATTAGTGATGAAACTTACGTAAAAGCTTTAACTAATTGGCAAGCATCGATAAAAGAATTTACTTATTTTATTGAATGTCAAGGAATACCAGGCATTCATATGATCTATAGTTCATTTACAGTCCACTCTACAATTTCACCATGATCCATGAACCATTTGCTGAATGCTTGAAATTATTAATAACAGCAGATGGATTGACTATAAACCTCATGTTACAAATTGTACTGCATATAAACCTCTTGTTTATTGTTAACTCAAATTTCTCATTTGAAGAACCATGTATAGCTCCAACAGAACTAACAAATGGAGCAGTATTCACTAGTCCTAAGAATAACGGAGATATGAATCAGGACAATGAAATGGTTTTCAGGATAAATATCCAACCCACCCTCAAAGAGTTTATCTGATTCACCATGACTTGAGAATGCACAGCTATTTCTTCAGTGAATTCCTGCATTAAATATCAAGAGGAAAATACAATAGAAAAAAACAGTAGGTTACACCAGCAAGGAACACAAATCTTGTCAGCAGTTACTTTGCATGCATAACTCACCTGAAATCCAATATGCAACCTTTTCCCACCCCTATGGTAGGGAATAATAATAGGTCGCTTGTCAATGAACTCTTTGCAAATAAGCGGTTCTACTCTGCAAAGAAGACAACCTATACTGATGACAGTGTTCCTCACATCAAAAAATATATATTTATATCTCAACACAAATATCATATGGTTGAGGATGTGCTATATCTGAACCCAGATATCAGTCACCCAATCATGATAATACTGTGTGGAAGCTAAAGAAAGACTTGTAGAAAAAGCTATTGGACAAACCTATATGCTACAGGATCAAAAGGATGAAAAATGTTAAACATTTGTCTACATGAAGGAATCTCTTCTGTTATTTTTTCATCTTGCCAATAACCTTGCCCCCTGCCTTGAAGAAAGAAAAGTAATTTCATTATATCTATTGTTAAAGGCAAATGAGCCAAAGAATTTAATAGAAGACTGATGTTATATGAATAAGTGGTATCAAAAAATTGAAAGTAACTTTCTGAGGCTCCAAAGACTAAGAGCACTAAAGTTATGAATAACAGCAGAGCAGTAAACATAATTAAGCCAAACAAGGCCTTGGCAAAAGAACAACAACACGCTGTAATGTCCCAACAGATGAGGCTTTGATGCAATTCTGTCTTTTGCCTTAAATGGATGAAAGGGGCTCTTGAATAAAAGATATATCTAACAGATTAATTGCATATGAAAAACTATTTTTCTGATGTATCAGCATTTTGACACTGACAAAAATAAAAGGTTAGTCTCATAGCTTCAAGTATACATCCAGCAAGCAGAAATATTGAGTAAATACCTCTGTGGAGAATACAAGCATTGATGGAAAAGACATCTTTTGCAATTGAAACAAGTTACAACATAGCAGTGTCCTATTTGTTTATACACCAAAAAAAAAGTTGAGCCGAAAATATCCATGGACAAATTATCTCCAAAAACAACAATGGAATGTAAAGAATCTCTAGAAAAAGAAAGAAGGATTGATGTAATTGCTTCTGGTTTTTAGAAACTACAAATTCTATGTTTAGTCATGCACAACAAGAAGTACTCAAAGGACGTTGTTCATCCCAATAGTGTGATTACACCATCTCATGTGAGAAGAGGTACAAGGCCTTTATCCGTAAAAGTGATTCCTAGTCAGAGTAAGTCTCATACATATACCTAATATTTCTTCTTCCTTTGTGTTAGTCTCAGTTCATTATCACTTTTTGAGAAAAATCAAATTGAATTGGAAGATTTCAAATGACTCATTCTCAATTCCTAACCCAGTTAAATTCTTTAATCTCCTATGAAATCCCTTGCATCTGTTTAGCATCAAGCATGATGTGCAATAAGACTTAAATAGGTTGGCTACATGAATCTTTTGCCTCCGTTAAGTTCTGTAGAAAGCAATATTCTTAGTTGGATTAAGAACATTTATATCTTTAATTATAATATCTAATAAAGTGTTCTCAGATCTCCTACTACTTCTACTCACACCATTTATACTAATTATCTCACTTCTTCTATAGCATATATAAGCCTTCTCTATAAATGTTGTATGTACCAAAATTTAAATGATTCCCCCTTATTATACCAAATTGTTTTATCATTTTAATAACTCCACATATCCACCTCAATATTCTCATCTAAGTGATAAACTTCTTATATATTACTTTTTAACTCAGCAACAGTCAAGTCCGCAAAGCATCCACCCAAGAACTATCTTGTACAATTTTTCTTTTAGACTAAAAACCATATGGTGATCTCACAAAATCACTCTCCAACTACTTTTGCTCTATGAACAATATATTAATCAATCTCTTCATCTTGTTGAATAATGATCTAAAACTTTTACTTCGTGGAACTTATCATCCATCCAACATAAATATATCCTTGATTCTTCTATCAGTAATACTAAATACATCTCATGTATCCATCTAAGCCTCAAAACTTTTAGTTTCTAAGGTTTGTCTCTTTAAGTTTATAATTAATTCCATTCAAACTCTCATCAATTGAAAGAATGTCAATAACAAATAAAATACACCATGGAGGTCTATGTTGTATATGACTTGCAATTTCGTATATTACCAATGTAAATATTTATGGATTTAAAGTGATCCTTGATGTAATCATATACGAATATAGAACTTGTTAGACACGTCACTATTATCATAGATATAACATCAATATAAATTATGGATACATGTTCTTTTCTAAAAACAACCATAATAAATTCTATGGACTTTATCATACCATTTTTGATAAATCAATAAAAGCTATATGCAAATGTTTACTCTTCTCTATATACTTTTCATATATTGTCTTCATAAATAGATTTTGGTATTAATATTTTAAATGGCAAATATTTGATCTTATTTAACCTTCAATCATTCTTTCCAAAAGTTTCATATATCTTAGTTCCTTTATGGTTATAACAACTTTTTATATCTTCCATATTCTTAAAATTGGTACCAAAAAGCACTTCCTCTATTCATCAAGCATCATTTTATGAAAAACGGCAGCTCAAGTTATCCTGCCTCAGTCACAGTGGAAAGCACAAAAGGCAGACAGTCCATCCAGAACTTGAGCTTAAATCTAAAGCTCAGTTTTTAGACAAGCGGAATTGAAACATGAGGACTCAGAGACAAGAGTAGACTCGTTAATAAGCTCGTAAACAAGCTCACTCACAAACCTATGTGCAGACTTCTAGATTCACAAAATGGTTAGTATATCCATAATTACTATTATTATAGTAAAAACAAAAAATAAATCTATTTTGCGGTATAAATAATTGTGTTAATGTTTGTGTCTATCTTTCAAAAGAAAGTGTGGACTAGCTTGGCTGATAAAGATTTGACCTCTTCATAGCAGGTCCAGGTATTTGATAAAAGCAAAGTTCAGCTTGGCTTGGCATGACTCGAACCCTACTCATGTGCCTCAAAAGTGTTGTTTCTATACACTGGAATATGTTAGTACCATTTTGGCATGGCACATATTCATGTAGTGCTAGTCAAATGCCCCCATGCTGACCATGTACCAACCAATATAGTCCAGGATTGGCATAAAATATGCTGGTGCTACCAGCATCGATAGGCATGGCACTAGCCAGTAGCTTCATGGCACAGTGCATTTTTAACTTGTGGAGCAATTCTTGGTGAATATGACCATAAAGGATAAACAAAAAATTTCTAGCAGATCAAGTCAATCTAATAGTTCACAGTTCACACATGAATCATGACCACTGATACAAAAGGAAAGAAGATTTGGTCAAAGAATTGGATCAATATCCTAGTGGGGGAACCATCTGAACCGTCCCCTCAAGATATTTTTTTTCCCAGATGAGAATATGTAAACAGGGTAAACAGCAAATACAATTGTGAAGATTGAAATGTTCAAACTTCAAACCAATGAACCAGGAGGTCAGAAGACCTATAAATAGTATCCACTAAGGTCAAAGGAACATAAAAAGCAGTTCTTACAGAAACTTAGCAGATACATGACAGAAAGAGATAGAATCAAGGTCATAAGAAAACAAAACAAAGGATTTTGATATCATTAGCACAAGGTTTATATACCTACTCCTATCCGGACATTTCGCAGGGCAAGAAAGACACCAAGAGGTGATCCAACAGCAAAGAATGTATCAACCTAACAAAGAAAAGATCACACTTCCAAGGATTAGTAAAGTTGTCAAATAAATAAAAGAGTAAATGCAAATTGGAGATAGGAAGTTTTTACAAATAAACAAATACAGAAGTATCAACCACAGAAAAGGTTGAAGTATAAAAAAAGAAAATACAGCACATGATTATACCATAAAATTAAGCTTAGTGTACTTGACGTAAGGTGTGTAACTCTTTCTTTTGTCATCCTTCCCAGGAGAAGAATTTTCAGAAGACTGATTGATTGATTCAGCCACTTTGTCTGCTTGCAGAATATCAAGGATTAAAAATAGTAAGAAGAATGTTAACTAATGACTTGGTGAAGGTCAGCAAAGCCACACATAACATGAACATATATAGATGATGGATTAACCTTTGCCATGATAAGTTCCACTGGTTCCATCATTCTCACTGTAATGCTTAAAGTAAGTTTTTGGTAGATGAGCTTTTTCCAGTTCTGCAATTTTCAATTTGAGGGACTCCACCTGTTGTCATAATTCACCATATCCAGTTATAATACTAGGACATCTTAAAATTGCAGCTTGAATCCTTAGGCACATCTCTACTTAACTACAAGCCAACTGACACTACTGTATGGTGAATTACTATTTATGATATTTAATCATATCAAAGAGATACATACCTCTTCCTCCAACATGGAGATTAATTTGTCTTTATCAACTGTATTTTCAGAAAGAATCCTGAAATCCTTAACGATACCACCTTCAGAATCTACACTTTTGCACAGATTTCCAGTAGAATTATTTGCTTCAGCACAAAAAGTTTCTGAAGGACAATTTACTTCTTCACCAGCTTGTTTAAGGAATGATGTATCGATACACTTATCATTGAAACACAGATGGTCCAGATTATCATATTTCTCATTAGGATATAGCATGCCACCATTATCTGGGAACACCTCTTGCAGATCATTTCTTAGAAAGTCATCTCCATTGCGAGAGAAGGCTCCTGCTTCACCTTCATTAACATTGGGATATATCCGTGACTTGGAACTGTTTTTTACTGTTCCACATGCCAGTGGCTTCGAAGCTGTTATTTTATTTCTGTTATGCTCAGAATTCATGGGGATACTAGATTCAGTTAGCCAATACGAAGGATCAACTTCAGACTCCTGAATATTTATTCCAACACCTTCCAGGGACACTGTATCCATGGAAAAGGGTGCAGAGAAACAATCTTGATGGCAAAGTATATCATAGGATAGTACACTTCCTAATGAGTGACCATATATAGAAACCTGAAAGAGAGTTGTATAATTTTTTATCCTGTGTTAAACATTGCAGTGACTATCAGAATAAGTTTTTTGCTTAGATAAATAAAGATAGTACACAAACCTTCCCATCATAGCCAGGGTTTCGCTTGAGAAACTTTGCATATAATCTGTTTAATTGGTTGGACACCTGAACAATATAGCAAACAATTTATAAGTTAAATAGCTTATCACGAAAACAACCATAGCTAAATCAGCTCAATATCTAGTTCTGAATTCTTGCAGTAATGTACTCTTCATTTCTCATTTAGTACAGTCGGAACAAAAAAGGAAAAAATAAGTCCTCACTTCAGGAACATATGATATCAAATAACTATATCCAATAAAATGATGCACATAAGTTATTCAGATAAAACATCTTAACTTCAATTGCTAACAATAACATTTATGCTCATGTTACTCGGTATAACTTCTTATTAAATTGCATTTTTTTCTATAAATTGCATGTATCAAGAAAACCATTTAGTTGCAATCACTGCAAATTATGTATTGTCATCTCAACATTGCAAGCTAGACATGTTGGACCCTTTTTTAAAATCAAACACAGTAGAAAATTATGAACTACTAACAACTATGCATGAAATATTATATGTGATGAGCACTCTTCTAACAGTGACGTCTTCTTGCTCCTCAAAATCTCTGTTATGTATCAGGGAATAGGATATGTCCAGAATCTCTCTTCCAAAGAAAGTATACCCTAGACATCCAAGAATGCTAGAAACATATATTTACCCCAATATAGCTCAAAATCAAATGCAAATAGTTTTTTACAGCAAACATAAGCAGTAGCATATCCATCTCACTTCATCACGATCTTGAAGTGCGTACTACTAGTGTTGGAAGAAATTACCTACTCAGAGACACAGCTAGATGTAGCAGAGAAGGGATAAAAATGTCTACAGCAGAACAAATTAACTACTTTCAGACTCACTAGCCCATTTAAATCTGAAAAGAATTATCATGAATTTCATATCCTCAACATTCAATCTACGTAAAGAGTTCCCAAAAAATAGAAATTTGACACAAATTGGAACTTCTTTTGAATTCATCGTCTTGTGCTAGCTTAGAAGTGAAGCTGCAGTCTATCCAATACTTTTCTTTGAAAGCCCGCAAAAATAGCTCGAAGGCAGGACAGGCATCAAAGCCAATGGGAATGCAACCTTTCTGAGGGCTTCGAATGCAAAATGATTCAATCAATTTGTTGCAATCACATTTTTCATATGCCCATTCTCAGATCTGAGAATAGCCATCATGCAGAATCAACTGCTTCATCAAAACCATGGCCATAAAAACTTGAGAAAGCTTTCAAAGTTTTCAAATGGGTAGGAAGTTTTCGAAGTGACAATAGCTTATAAGTGTGTGATATCATTATATCGCCATGAGCTTCAACTATAAAGCAAGGTTTGCTGCACCGTCCGAGTCAATATGCTATGAGGCGGTACGTACCGGTCTAACTTGCCACCGAGACACGACTCACCCAAGTCCCCGTTGGCACGCCCCAGCATACCATGTATCGGTACACCAGTACATACCATACTAATAAATCTCCGAGATGGGTCCGGTATCCGAAATGGCAAACCCTGCTATGAAGTACACAAATTTTGACCAAATTGAACAATCATAATAGGAGATTTTAAGGTTTTGCAGAGAAATGAACAAAAATAGTTCATTGTTAGTATTCATCATGATTCAGATTGTTCCTAGAATAGTCCAATCAATTTTTGTAGCTTTATATGCAACTATTTATCTCTTTAACTGAACACAATATCCAGTATGACTGTCACTCTAGAGCTTGAGTGTTCCTTTTAAAGTTCACACAAAACTCCTGTAAAAGAATTTTGATTGCTTAACCTTTCTAGGATCACCATTCCAGAGTGCAACTAAAATATCATTCAGCACATTAACCTATGATTAGAAGTCCATAGCCTAAAAACATGTATACAAATAGATTAAAAATATCCACCGTGACAGCTTTATAAAATCAATCCTCATGGAACAACACATGCAATAAGAATCACAAATAAATTCGCAGGCACAAATACACAATAATGCTTTTGTGATAATATTCATTTAAGCATTTACCCAAGAGAGCAGCACACTTCACTCAAGGTCCTAGATTATCAAGCAAATAAAATCTGATTGTACTAATAGAGAGAAAACCAAGAAGTGATGGAAGTTCTAGGCAAATTTGTACAAGCATGTATGGTGAATTTTCCTAATCTAGGTCACTCTGACACATCATTGAGAAATACAAAGAGACGGTAAGAAAAGAGAGAAGTATTATGCTAGCAAACAGATGTACGTATGTATATATTAATAAAGAGAATATCACATACTGAATCGATAATGTCCTGACAATAAATTGGACTCATGTAGTACAGAACATCATGAACTGTTGCACTCAATGTTACTCGTAGACCTCGTACACCATCCAAGGTAATTTTATCAACAGCATGTTCACCACTGAGCTTCAAACCCTTTCTCCACTACAACAAAAATAACTTGAAATCAAGCAAGGATAAACAGAGATCATATATGCAACCTCAATTCACATGTAACAGAAGGAAGAATCTTGAAAGATATTGCTACTTAAAGAACTACTGACATGACAACAACTTGTTCCTTCTAAGTTCTAACTATACACAAAAGGCAAATGCATTTCCAAGAACCAAGATGACCTAAAAATTAAATCAATTAAAATTGTTGTATCAAAGAAAACCACAACAAGATTAATGCATTTAGGATAATGTTTGCCCCAGGAATATAAAAATCACGTATATAAAGATTTCAAGAAGCCAAATTAACATGACTTATTAGGCTCATGGGGAAAAGAAAGCCACAATTTTTAAGTCAAAATCCAGACATTAAATTAAAAAGGATCCAGAAAAAATATAAGACCAGGGAGTAAAGGGCCATCATGCAATGCAACCATATGGAAGTTCATTGAATAAAATGATGCAAAAAGAATAGCTAATATAACTCAAGTTGCCACTAAACCAGTATTCAGGGAATCTGACCTTTAAATGATTATCTCGAAGTATCACATAGACAACTTGAAAAAAATACAGCTTTAGGCAGATCTCAACCAAAAACTTATTTTACTAAAAATAAAAATATATGAAGATTTTCTATCTACAAAAAAGAAAAAAAAAGAAATTCTGGAAATGGATTGACAAGTCTGAATCAATTACCTGCTCCTCTTTGCTACAAGTACAGATAACCAAACCTAACTTAAAAATGCAGACCATCTAAAATCCAAGGGCTTCTGATATAGTTTTTTTCTCTCCTAATTAGCGCTACCTAATTTTCTTATGGATGTATAAATACCCAACCGGTATTCCCTCTTTCAAAGAACAGTAAGATCATGATAGCCCATTTTCATGAGAATGGATCAACCCAAAATAATCCAAACACCAACCTTATAAGAAAAGCATAAAATTTACCTGGCAAGGAATAAAAAGAACCCTCTGGGTGCTTCTTTGGTATGGTGTTAAGTGCCTCTCAGCTAGACTTGCTGCTATACGACGAAAATCACCAACATCATCAACCAAATTGGCTTTCTCTAACCTTTGCCCAATACCATGAACCATAAAAACGAGATGACCAACTGGCACCTGTGGAATAAAGAAAAAGTACGTTAAGTAGGCAATGCAGCAAAATCCATTGAGGAAAGCTCACAAGCAGATAAAATTTGACCACATCAACAGGCCCAACAAAGCAGTTTGAGTGCACATGCTTTGTTATTCTTGATAACATCTTACTGCTACGTGTTCGGAATAAATCTATGCTCATTTGTATTACGTTTTTGAGGAGAGCAAAATTTTACCCCAAAAAACATACAGAGAAATAACACAAGAATTAAGTTGATACTTCTTGTCACTTGATAATTCCAAATATTTGTTTTCTGTCTGCAAATACCACATCTCATATACTGAAGAAGATTGCTTTCTGTACCCTACTTTGCCAAGGAAAAAAGACATGGCAAGATAATGAACCAATGTGATACTTCAGCATTGGGAATACCTTTCAAAAATGATTAATGTCATTTGTTTACTTCCAAATAAGTATCTTATTATCCATACTCATGCAACAAACAAGTTCCAAATGGAAGATTGCCTCACTACAAATTTCATAGTACTAACACAAGCATCTCCTGAAATAGCTTAATAATAGAACAGGATGGTTGATCTTTAAAGTAAAACCTGAGAACAATAATCATCCATTTCCTCCTCTTTCTGCTGGCGAAGCTCATCCTAGTGAAAAAGACCAAAAGGATAGTTATAGTCTAATGGAAGCAAATAATAAACACAATTTTATTTTTGAATAAAAGACCCAAGGACATCAAAAGATCTACTTTCCATTTTCAAGTATTAAAAGTACAAAGACAATTAGTACATCAAAAATAATTTTGATTTGGTACATTTTAGTTGACAGTTGCCACCTAAATAAGCATATTCAACTGACAGAAATTAAATATCAGTTCATACCTCATGCCAATGTAGTGTCGAATAAGTATAATATTTTCAGTACAGTAAGATGTACTATGGCTGTATGGCATACCAATCAAAGAAAAAATTCTGGTGTCACAATACACCAGTTTGTTTGTCATGCTTTGTCCCAATGGTAGGTTAGAATGGTATGAACCCATCAAAACAGTCAGCAACCCCAATTAGGATCAATGACAGTTCGAAATATGCAAGTTTAGAACTTACATATATTTGATATTGTTAAGACCAAGGTATGCAATACCGTACCGTACCGGTGTTTCGAGATTGGCTCGGTACGGTATGGTACCGGTGTACCAAGCGGTACACCAAGGCTTATCGAGCTATTTCCTTTTACTGTAGCATTATAGCACTACTACAGTATATTACTGTAGCACTGTAGCACGGTCTGTTCGGTAGCGGGCGGTCCGCGTACCGGTATGCCGTCGAACCGGTATGTACCGCCCGTACCGGGCGGTACCATTCGAAATTGCATACCATACTTAAGACAAACATATTTAGACTTTGTTCCAAATTCCAATAACTCAATTCATTTTGTTTCCTTATGACAATGCTTGATGTCTGGGTCTTGGGCCTTCTATTTTCTTTTAAATCTCAAGGAAATTTATATGAGTTGCTCCATGTATGCATGAACTTAAAGTGCAACCAACAAGGTAGTGCTTTCTACCTTTTGATAAGTTTTTATTTTTCTTTTTTGGGCCGGGGGGGTGGATTGATCGTAGCTTGTAGAAACAAGGTACTGCTTTCTAACAGAAGCTTGAAGAAAAAATTTTAACTGCAGATCATACAATTTTGACCAACCTTCATAAACCATTCTCGATTTTCAAATGTTCTCCCACCAAACTCATATTGATGGAAAGGGATCTAGTGGATTATGACAACAATGAAAATGATCTTTGGACAAATATGGACAATCTTCAATGCCAGCACATGATAGTTTTGGGCATAAAATACCATGGCATGTTTCATATTATCACCACCATTATAAATAATTATCATTCAAATGAAGGGCATCCCATACCAGGCAAAAAGTAAAACTCAAAGCCATGATTTTATTTTATTCCAATCAAGCATTACCAAGAATGAAAACTCACTAGATATTCTATAACCAAAAAAAAAACTTGAGTTTAAGCAATAAAAGTGTCCAGATGAAATACAACATGGAGTTATTTTAGTTTAGGATGGAGTCTTATAGATTAGGAAAGATTTTTAAGCTAAAGATAGTTTAATTAATAATTGGTGCAAGAAACTGAGTCTTATTATTTCAGGCTTCCATATTTAATAGATGGAACTATTAGCTGATTATTTTATATGAGTGTAAGTTTAAAAAAAAAAGCTTCAACTTTTTCTTCCATGTTCAGAGCCCTATATGAAGTAAAAAAATATAGTCCAGTTGTAAGTTATAGTAGGAAGTAGGAACAACCATTCTAGAAGGAATTTATGTGTTTGATAAATCCTAGCTTCCACCCAATCATCCTTTCCCTTTTGGTCTCTCTATATTTCTTCACTTTATCTTCTCATAACCTATTTCTTTCTCTCAATCTTTCTTATGCTGTAATTTGGCTGAATCAGCAGAACTGTTTCCATTGAAAGACAAATAGGCCTTAAATTCTTCTGGATTTGTTCCCCAAAACATCCGTAAACCAAATACAGAGAACAGACCCTCTTTTCCATGCTATTTAGTACATGAGCAGCCATCAAAGCAGGGCTTTTAAAGCCAATTTTAATAACTAAAGAACTGGTACATTACCAGTAACCAGGTGGTAAACCAACATGTGCCATCCAATATAATCTAATAAAATAATAGAAAATAACAAAACGAATGCATGTGATAGATTGATACCAGTGCTTGGCCGGGCATTAGTACCTGTCAATATTTATCGGTCTGACAGGTATTTATTATTCTCCTCTAACCTTAGGGGCTGAATTGCAAGAAACAAAGAAGAGTTACCAGTTCTCAGTAGGCTCATACGTGGTGCTAGGCTCACAAGTGACTTGGGATTCTCAAACTTAAGTGGTGGCTTTTAGTCAATTACATGAAGAGTATGATGGTGAGAGAAATTAAATCAACTCAAGGCACAAAAATCTTAGTGTTCTATGCAGCAAGCTTTAATAAGTAGCATCATTAAGATATATGGATAGAATAACAATTTTAATCAGTTTCTATAAAAATGTGAGAAAAAAATGTTTCATGCTGACATGACTAACCTGAGTTGGCTTCACAGATCCAGAAGGGGAGAAACCACGTCTTAGTTTAACCACATTTCCACTTCCAAAAGGAAAACCAGAGCTGCCAAAGGCTAACCACGCTTCCCAAGTATCATCCTCTCCTGTGAAAAGGGCATGTAGTCCCTATCCAGTAAACTTCTTTTAGAGACTGTATCTAAATATCATGGTTGTCAACCAACTCATGATCATTAAATATCCATACCACAGTTGTGCCTTGCAAATCAATACGAGCAGCAAATTGACCTGAAGGTTGAAATGTACGTCGATGCCAGACCTGAATGCAGCCAGAATTCAAATGAGTAGGGATTGTCCAGAGGCCCAAGATGATAATTAAGCTACTACATAACAATCCAACCCCGAAAAGAAAAGAACAACGTTTGCACCATGAAATTGTAAAAAAGAAATGAACGAAAATGTAACAGTTATACAACATTCCCAAAAGCCCATTGCATCAACTTCTAATACTAGAAGATGCTTAAAATGTTCTTTTGAAAGATAACCAACGAATTCTGAATGTCCAGACTCCAGACCAATAGATGATCCAACTATAATGATGTATAAATTACTAAACAAAGACTGTACTACAGGCTCAGATCCCATCCTATTAAATGATTATGTCTCTACTAATAAATTTCATTCAGAAGCATTGATAATTATAAAGTAGATAGAAGAAAGCTAATAGAATTCAGATATCTTATGATCTGAAAGCTTATAGAACAAGCTTGTAATTGTATAAAGTAAATGTGTGTAAATCAGCTTTTGTGAGCTCATCTAATGGTGAGTTTACAAGGACATTAAAAGAAGCAGGAGATAGAAATTCTAGTGTAGCAAGGAACCAACTAGTGAAGATTGCACAATAGAATTCCTACTCGACAACGGTACGCTAACTCCAGTTGTTCTGCAACATCTTCACGGAGGGGAAGCCAATCAATTCCACCTTTACGAGCAAACCAGTGACCTCTTAACACACGCCTGTTCTCACCACTCCAATACACAGGGAAACAATGTCGCTTAATTAAATCTACCTGTCACAAAATAAATTATGATAATGAGTTCCTTGCTCAGTTTGACAGAAGTTTGTACATTTTATAATCATAAGAAAATATTAAAGAACATTCAAAATTTTATACAGTGATGGTGTACATATCAATACAGGTTAACAAACGGGTTACAGAAAACTGAATCCATTTAGTCTTCACTTCCTTGAACAGAACAGAACAAAAAAATGTACTATTCAATCAAGGTTATAAGATCTCTAAAAGCATAGAATATAACACAATAAGACTGTCAAAAGTCTACCACAAGCAAACAAGGAAAAAATAAGGTCTGAACCATAAGGGCAGTGCTGTAATCCCATTAAGTTCACATAGACTGAAAGCAATCAACTGTTTCTTAGAGTTGGACACTGCCATATTTTGCTGATCTTGATATCTAGCACTCTAGAGTTGGATAATGCCATACACAATCAGTTAGGTCACCCAAGAAAAATACAAGGAAATACAAAAAAAAAAACAAGGGTCTTCCACTGGTTCTCTACAACCTTGTCTACCATGGCTAATTAGACAAATTTGCTCCTTGTTCAGACATACATCAGAACATTCCAACAAGACATCAGACAAATATATACCCCAAACAATCCCATAAAGCTCTAAGCTTGGCAAGACATCAAAAAATTATCATGAAAAAACAAGCATAACCAAAACAAGAAAATGGTCGTATTTTCTAAGAGATAAGCAAAAAACCAGAGAATCTCCTTTAAGTAGGTAAAAAATTACATAAATTTGAAAGAATATCAAAACATATACTTGGAAGAATAAATGAACATTATTGCACAAGTAGGCCACAACCGCATAGCAATGATAACCAAACCAGTATTGACAAATAGGCCACAGTAGCACAACTATCATAACCAAACCAGTCAATAACCCTTCCAAACCTCATTTCCCTGTATTATTGATTGGACCAGTGGGTTAATTCGTTGAACCATAGGTTTAATATAATAGTATTATTCTATTTAAGCTATTAAAATTTACTCCTTTCTAGTTCCTTCTTTCCTTCTTTCTTTTAGTTGTTTTTGCCTCTTTTTGTCTCTTTCTTTTCTAGTTCAGTTCTCTTTCCTATTTTTCCATATTTTTTCTTCCTTGCCTTTCTCCTCTTCTGCTTACTTCTCGACAGCCCTTCTCTTCTTCAGCAATGAGCATCAAAATGGACCAAGCAAAAGGTGTAGCTAAAATGAAAAATATGTAACAAAGAGTTTAAGTGGGAAACAGCAACGACAATGAAATTTAATTGTGTTCTTCCCTTGTTATCCTTTCTTCTTTTCTTCTTGTTCTCCTTCTTTCCCGAAGATCGGACTTAAGTGGGAGATGATGATAATGATTTATGGCAAAGGAAGGAGCTAACAATAATGAACCAAGCCTAAATCAGCAATGGCATGACCGAGATGGCATTTGTCAGATTGTTTTCACATGATTTAGAGTTGGATGATCAAAGAGATTGGGTATTATCCAACATAAATATTGGTACAGGTTTTTTATGCAGCTTATGGAAAGAGCACATAAGTTGAGTTAGGTTTGGCTAGTTTTCATGCTAAACTAGTTTGAACTGAACTAAATGGGCTGATGTCTGATTCATAATGAATGAATCATTCGTTATGAATCATTCATTCAAATCAAACCAACCAATCCAATCCAATATAATAATTTATAACTATGTGAAATGCCTAGGTCGTAAACCAGTCTTGGCATACATAAGCAAAGCTCACCCAGACCACCATATGCATAAATGTACAAGTATATAAATCCATATGCACAAAAAAAAAAAAATATATATATATATATATATATATATATGTATATTAACATATATGAACATATGTTTAAATGTGCAATATATTCAATTGTGCATTACTCGATCTGATGTAATAATTTTACTCTTATATTTGCATATATTTACTTATGCAACATGTAATTTACTATCCAGCACTCTTGAATATCTTGATGGAACTTCCTCAACAACCAAGATACATATAACTGTTAGTCTGTCAATAACAGTATGAAACTATCAAATTGGTTATGTACCTCAAATAAAAATGAAGAAATTGACTTCTATTAAAGTTTGTTTCCTTCTATTGCTGAGGCAGCAGTCCAATTTGACAACTATGCCCAACATCTAAATGATAGATATAAACTACTTCAAGAGATATTTCAACAACCAGTGTCTGCCACCAAGATATAGCTAATCATAGAAATTACCAAAGTGGACATCAATATTAATATGCAAGGGTGCCATCACCATCGACGGTCTTATTATGCAAGGTATAGAAAATGTCTATAACAAAGTTCTTCACAGAAAAAAAATCATTTGCCATCTGGAATCACAAAAAATAAAGCTCACATGACAAGGAAAACACTAGATGTCAAAAGTGGCAAAGAAAGTACCTCATAAAGACCACCTTTTACAGGGACACCAACTCTCTCTTCCTCCACTATGTACAGTTCATCACAAGTCACATGTAGTCCACGTGGACCCTCACTGCACTCCGCATATTCTTTCCACCAATATGCAAGTAACTCTTCCTCCCTCTGCATTTCATTTTTTTAAACACTTCAAGGACATGAATAATGAACTAAAAGTAACAGAATTTATTTTAGAACAACATATAAAAGATGTTTCAAACAATGTATGCACATAATTGATGTAAAAGTGACCATAATGATTCATTTGTGACAATAACCTTCATTATAAAACTTCTAATATGGACAATTAAAATACAACATTCAAAAAAAATTGATGTCAAACAATCAATCAGTAAACAAACACCACAGTTTATATAAATTAGCAAAAACACTGATAAAATGAAATTGTATAAATCTGGTAAAGCATTACTTACAGATAGACAACACAGGAAGTATTCAGGCACAACATTGTAATCTTGCATGTTATTTTTAGGAAAAAAGTGATAGAAAGGGAGGCTTGACATCCAAAAATATATAACTTCGCCACCATATTTATGATAATGTAGCATAGATAAATTATTTACTAGGCATTATACTTATGTGTAATAAAATTGCTTTTTGGAATCCTATACTCCATTTTTACAGTTTGATATATAAGTCAACTCAGATCATGGTAGAGTACGCCTTTCAGCTTGTTTGTAGTACAAGAAGTAGGGTTAGTTGGATCATCGTAAATTATGCAACTCACTAATACCTACATCCCTTGTTACATTAAGGCCTCTTAGTCTGATTAAGTCAATGGTTGTACACTTGTACATTTAAAGTTAAAAACAATGACAGTAGAACCTGAAAGATCAAAATGTGGCATTATTTTTAGTAGTGTTTATACTCCAGTATAAGAATGCCTATTATGGAAGTATGCTTTTTTTATAACTTATAATGAAAATAAGAAGAGCAAATATGTAACGGATCCCAATATCAACAATCCAGATAGGTGAGCTGGAACATAGAAGTATTGTGAATTTGTAGCAGAGTGATCTTTTTGAGCAGAGGTGATCTTTTTGACAAGCAGATCACTAAAGCTCTTAACTCTTAAAATGACAATGTCTGAAGAGATCCATTTAGGAGAACAAAGTGATACATAAGCATAATTGAAACTTTTGAACAACCTGTCCAATTTTTAGCTTCCTTTTGTTTTCACTCAGATGCTTAAGTTAACCCATTCGCAACACCTGATCCTAGCTCACAACACTCCTTCCCAAACAAAAAAAAAATCAAGCATTAAACAATGTAATCCATTAGTCAAACCAGTATAAGGCTTCGATCAGATGTTTTAATGCTTTATCATAACAATTCAGTTAGTTATTTGATAAAATAATCTTGCTCCAATCAGCCAAGCATCATGGCCTGACATGCCCAAAAGTGGTTTAAAGATCTGATTTGATCTGGATCAAGCAACAACCTTATCTGGAACAAATTCGATAAGTGGTCTAAAAGGTACTTGAACCTTATTTGCTTAGTCCTCATTTCACATCTCTTTTTGTTGCATGTCCATGTATTTACTGATAAAAAGATGGGATACAACTTGCATTTTAAATAAAAAACTCAATATACCTCATGACGAACAAAACCAATGATATATGCAAATATGACACCTAAGTTGATATTTGGAGAAAACATGCATGAGGTAATTGTGTACCTAGAATGGTATTAGGACCACAAGTTTTAATTGCCAGTATTACTAACCTGTAAGAAAGAAGCCTCCAGTGCAAGAGAGTCTCTCATGCTGAATCGAAAATAATCACTTTTGCCAACTATCTCTGTACAAGGAACTGAAGATGCCAGCTCTGTAAAGGAAAGGAGACAAACAACTCCGTGAGATAGAATACACATGGAATGCAGCTTCAACTGAATGCTGTAACATTATACTGACTGACATATTTCATGTGAAAAATAGCATAATCTACCAAACAATACATAATCTGGAAGAAAGAGATTATCATTAAATACCATAACTCTATTCCCTTATATCGTCCCTTGTATCTAACTTCCATATAAGGATGATAATCCTTAAACCACTGTTGTTTGTTCTTTCTTGATCACAATCAATAAATTCACTAGTAAACTTGTAAGCAGTGATCGAGACCTGAATTTTAGTTTTTGTTTCATGTGAACATGAAAAAGAAAGAAAGGATCAAAAGTAAAAAATGGTTCAGATATATTGCAAGGTCTTGGGCTCGAATCCCACCTTCGTCACTTATCCTTTGCAACAAAAAAAAATTCAGATGTTTTTTTTTTTTAAATGGAAAAGAATTTCAACATCGATCCTCAAACCAACAAGAATGCTTGTCACAGAACTTATATATGTTGCTTGAGGATAAGATTTATAGGACTAAAGAAACACATGTTCTTGCCAACTTGAACAGCCAAGCTCGACAGTATATGCAGGTCAATGTCAATTAGGCAAAGATATGTTCTTAATAGTTGTTGGGCTTGCAAATTGTGCTACTGTAGTTATGTTACTGATAAATGCAAACACGTAATAAGTAAATGAATTAGTTACGACAATTCACACAAAAGAAGAAAATAGTGACTGACCCTTTTCTGCAAGAGGCACTTTGCAGAAGTACCAACGAATGTCTTCCCCATCAGATGGGCTCCTTGTGTGTGCAAGATACTTCTGATGACCCTTACATTGTTCAATTGCATCCTCCAATCTGGCAATGTTGGATGGCGTGTTCTTTAACAGGTCAGGTGATGCCTCCTCCCCCTGATTAAAATCAGTCACGCCGGAGAATGAAGGCACAGCTTCATCTCGACATTCTCTAACAGTATTTACTTCAGGACTTGCCATTGCAAAGTTTTAGATCAAAACCAGGAGCAAAGGTCTGGATCGTGGTTAGTATCCTACAATCTAGCAGAAAATGAGGTCACAAAAGGGATATAAGTTATGCCAGAACAATTCAGATTCGTGTAAATGAATTAGACGCATTTAATGAAGCACCAGCTAACTGAACGAAAGAAAGAATTTGGCAATTCTATGAACTGAACAAACTAAAAAGCGATGCAAGCCCCATTTCGATGAAAAAACAATTAGTGAAAGCAAAAGCAAACCCCCAAATGGGAACAAATGAGAGGGAAAAAAACCTAGAAAATCACAAAAGGAGAGGGAAAAAAAAGAAGAAAAAGGAAAACCCCTATCTTAAACCTGCCCAACCGATAACCTCCAGCTTCACGTACAGAGATCCTTCGTGCAAGCATCCACGATCATACAATTGGCGGAAAGAAATCCCCAAAAACAAGATAGAAAAAAGAAGACATATGCATATATAGCCAAAATAAGAACAATTAACACAAAGGTATCCAATGTTAGAGAGAAAGAGAACTTACGGGGCGATCACCAACCTGGAGCAGATCGCCCGGGCAAACGGAAATGGAGTCGGGTGCGTGAGGGGAGAAAAGACGCGATACGTGGGACGGGAGAGGGAATCGGCGAGGGATTAGGGTTTCGAATGATGGAAGAAAGGGAATCGGTGGAGGAGGAAGAGTCAGAGGAGCAGCGAGCGGCGGCGTGGAGATGGAACGGGAGAAGACTGGGAGTTGGTGGGGAGAAAGAAAGGGGCGGTTGTGGACCAAACCCGAGCGGGCCCGACTCACCATTTGAAACCAAGCCGAGGCAAAAGGAATCATGAGGTCGCTTCCCAGGCGGTGGAAGGGACGCGGGAGGGTGGTGGCAACACGTGCTCCGCTCGTGCTTGTGGAGAAGCGTATCAGCTAGAAATACAATTAATTCTAAATATATACAACAAAGATGTCAATTTTCAATTATTTGGGACCTGTCATACGGTTATTCTTTCGTCGTTTAATTAAACAGTCATATTCTTAGTTTAATTTAGAATATTTAATTTTTATTCTACAAAATATTTTGGGTAATTCCTTTATGACGCCTGCAACCTTACTTTTTTTTTCCTTCAAAATGTCCCCTTTTTTGCATGCAAAACGCTCCTATTTTAAGTTTTTTTCTTGCAAAGCCTCACTAATTGCCAAAATAATAAAAATATCCTTAAGAACCAAACTGTTTTTTTCTTCCTATTCATTTTCAAACTTATATTGAACCAACACATTCTTGGAATAAAAAATAGTCTTTTTAAAATTTTATAAATTTTATTTTTAAAAAAAATATTAAAGTTGAGTTAAACTGTTTTGGAGGAGGATCACATTGTTTGTGAATATGAAATAAAAACAATATAACTCATGTCTTCAAAAATTCTTTTGGATCTTGAAGTTTGGAAATCTTCTATAATAATATTGAAGTGGATTTTATCCATTGGGATGGTAAATTCACCGTAAATTGGGTAAGACTAAAAATAGTCTAAATCATACTTGTAAATGGCTGAAATAAAAATATATATTTAAAAGCTTAAAATTAGAAAAATGATAATTTAGACCACTAAATTTTTTTCTATGCTTTGTGAAAATTTAAGAATTTTAGAATTAATGTTTATTATTTATTGGTTTATTTAATGACCTTAATATTATTCATATAAAATATAGATATAATATCATTGTGTTATATTTTCCTTAATATTCAATTATATGAATTTATTTTATTTTTCAAAATTTTTGCAATAATTTTGTGTTTAATTTTTATATTTGTTTATAATCAATCCATATTCCTATTAATCTAGGAGTGGTCTAATGTTAAGTTAAAACAGGGAAAGAAGAAGAATATAAATGATAGTTGAGGATACTTTTGCTCAACTCAAAAAATAGAGGTTCCAATTGGAAAAAATAAAAATGGAAACATAATAACAGACTTTTTTCAGGGAATTTATGCAAATCTTTTTTGGTCTCCCATGTCCTTAGCATATATTCATACTATTTTAAATTATTCTTTTTTATTTTGTCTATTTTCCAAACTACTGGTCTATTATTCAGATCCTTCATAAAGTATCTTTAATATATATCTATTTTATTTAATCGACATATCATTTTCAGATTTTTCTTATATATGTAATGGAATTATGAAAACTTAACTCAAATTTTTAATTCGAAAGAAAAAACACAGGATGTGTCACATAAAGTGTCATTTGACCACGTGGCATTGCTATGGACACCTCATGTGTGGAGTCTACCAAGTCACGTGTGACAATGCAGCACATCAACATAAGAAAAAAAAAACCAAATAATCAAGAGATTGTATGCAAAATTAAGTGATCAGTGCAGACAATCACTTAATATATATGGAAAAATATTTTTAGAAAAATCAAAAAATACATTAAGATATTATGATAAATGAAAACATAAAACTGAGAAAATGAACCAGCAGAAAGGAAACATGAGACAATTAGGTAATACAAAACGGTCAACCGTCATGTAGCAAAAGCAGTTGTAGATGGATGTACAAAATCACTTATTTATCAATCGTTTTAGAAAATGATGTGTCACACACCATCTCTCAATTGGTAGTAATTGTATTCCACCTACATTTCGCAGGTGCACCATACAAACGAAGATATGGGTATCTCAACGATCCTCCAAGAGTTGATAAATTGAATGGAAGAACAAGAAAATTGTTGATGGTTCGGCTGCTTTCAGAAGCAGGACGGTTATAGTTCTGATGGACAAAATAGATTGATCACATTGTGATATAAAAGGCAAAGAAATTAAGACGCTGTCGATGCCTTGAGATAAGTGATGAGGTCGACACGTTCCTGTGGCTTCTTCAGTCCAGGAAAAACCGTCTTGGTACCAGGAATATACTGCATACAAATAAATATCTCCTGAGAAAAACTAATCATCATGATATAGATTCGATTACAACCAAGTGTTCTAAGCAAAATGAATCAGAGTATAAACTATAAAGTACGGATGCAAAGATCTTATATTGTCTACTCCCAAAAACATCACAAAAATCGAAGATATCACAAACATAAAATTTACTAGTCATATAAATGTGTGTTGTATGCTAATCACATGAGTGATGATACATGTGACTTGACACATAATCTTTTTTTCTATTATTATTATTTAATATTTTTATTATTTTATATTTATTATATATATATATACACATACATATATATATACATATATACATATATATATATATATACATATATATATATTGTGATATCCTTGGATCTGTATAATGGGAATCGAATCATGATGAGATCACGATAATGAGACCAACTCACGTTTAAACTCATATCCTAAATAATCTCGATCATAGGTTACTAGAGAGGGACATCGAGATAACCGGACAGACCGATATGTTGTATACTCGTCCATATGATGGATTTATCTAGTCTCATAGTTGCTCGTGTGGGGACACTGGGGATATAGTACAGGTGCTCATTAGAGAATGAGTTTACTAATTGATCTGCTTATGGAATGCTAGATGATTGATGATGCCTTATTGTCAGACAACGATTCCGCAGTCTCAATGGTGTATCTGGTCCTTAGACTTAAGATACCAAGGATGTCTTGTATGAGTACTCCACTATTTGATATCAAACTTATAGGTCTGGATGTTCCAAATCTAACACAACCGATCATCGGGAGTGGTAGTCAACCTTATAAGGACTATTGAGTGTTGATAGAGGATCATTCGCTCTCGGTGTCAAAAGAGGAATATCTCATATGTTCTTGCTCAAACAAATCCCTAGCCAAGTAGAATCCGATTGAGAGAGAAAGAGTTCTCCGGGAGAATCCGATTAGAGAGAGACTCAAGTAGAAACCGTATGAGTCTGACAACACCATGCATGGTATAGGGTCTCTAGGATATTAGATAGATAAGAGACTATAGATATATGGTAACTAAGGACAGACAGGTCCAATGGATTGGATTTCCTTATATCATTTGGGGACTGCGATGTAGTGGCCTAGTACGTCCGCAATCGATAAGTCGAGTGAATTATTATGGAGATAATAATTCACTGAGCCAAAAGGAGTTCTAATAGATATGATTCACGGCCAGCTCGATATTGGGCCTAGAGGGTCATACATATACAGTAGGCGATGCGATGAGTAGATGTTCGAATATGGAAAATTTAGAGATTTTGTTTTCTATTCTTCCACTACGCATGTGATGTCGCCCCCTAGATTTCCCTACAGTGGTATCAGAGCCAAGTTGTTCGTGTGATAGATTGGTTTTAAACTACGTGTGTTTTAAGAAGACCTTTGTCATCAAAATCGTTGACACAAAAGGTGAGAGAGGGCAGCAATTATTGCTGCCCTCATAGGTTGGCCATGTTAGGATCGGGGTCGGCACTAAGAGGGGGGATGAATTAGTGCAGCGGTAAAATATCGTCGATTTAAAAACTTTCGTACGATAAAAATTAATTTCAACGTAAACCGATTTTGGAAGCTTAATAACTTGGAAGCGTATGAAAGCGTAGTGGCTAAGTAAAGTAGTTTGTAGTATGTAAATGGCAAGAATAAAATGCAAACCAGAGAACACATCAGTTTTAGAGTGGTTTGGTCAACGTGACCTACATCCACTTTCGGCAAACTCCTCCGACGAGATTGCCGGCGTCCACTAGAGGCCTTCCTTCAATAGGCGAAGGCTAATCACCTTATACACCCCTCTTCTCCTTTTACCGGGTTTAGGAGATAACCCTTACAAGCACTCACTCTCTTTTCTAAACAGAAATCTAAGTTTAAGCTAGAGGAGGGAATACACTTATGACCGCAGCAACGTTTTCTCTCTTTTAATCTCTTTGTGCTTGTGTGTTATAACCAATGATAAGAAGGGTATTTAGAAGTTTCAAGTTAATTCAAACTTAGAGCCTAAAACTTTCTCATCCTAGGTTCCTCGGGCACAGGCGGTACTACCGCCTGCGCTGGACGGTACCACCGCCTACGTTGGACGGTACCACCGCCTGCGCTGGGCGGTACCATCGCCCAGTGTCATTCGACACTGACATTGTCCTGGGTGGTACCATCGCCTGGGGGGCAGTGCTGGGCGGTACTACTGCTTGGCACCCTGCCAGGGGCGGTACAACCGCCCAAACTAGCAGTACCACCGCCTGACACAATCTTGAAGACTGTGCCACGATGGTGAGACTTCTTAGGGCACTGTTTGGGTCTCTTATTGGGCTCAACACAATTCTTACATGGGCTTACCTGACCCCTAATTGGGTTGGCCCAAATCTAAACCCAATTACGTGTTGTTAACTACGATTCCTAGGATATATTCTAAGCTAAATAAGTCTGTAAGTCTTGGTTTTTCTAGTGATTTTCTAGCGATCTTCCGGCAAACTTTCGGCAGACTCCTGGCAAGCTCCTGGACTTCACGATGATCTTCTTGGTGAGTTTTGACGAGCTTCTCTAGCAAGCTCCGAGACTTCTCGACTGATTCTGCCAGAACTTCCGACGAACGTCCGGACTTCCGACAAACTCTCGAACTCCCAACGAAATCACGTCCTTGACTCTGTGACTTCATTTTGCTTCATGCCTTGCTATCATAGTTAATCCTACAAATGTAAAACACACTTTGATCTAGACAATTAATACTAAGCATTAATCAAGTTGTTCGGCATGTCATTGGTCCCTCGACGCTTCATCTGATTCTTCGGCTCATCGTCCTCTCTTGCGGCCTATTGCCCAATCGGCCAGTTGACTCCGCAACTCTGATATCCTTGGCGCAATATCCGCTCTTCTTGGACCAATGCTCAAATC